GACAGAATTTTTGAGTAGTCAGATTCTGAAACTCCAAGCTTGAAATTAATGTGCTTAATAGTTTCCAAATCAGAATCCTTTTTGACCAGTTTATAGCATACAATTGTCTTCTTATCGATAGCTGCATATTTAGCCACATAGCCAATGATGTCAGCAGTCCTTACAGTAGGCAAAAACGATGCAGCCATTGCGGCGAACCACAACTCCCAGCTCCGAGTTCTCATTTGACCCAAATACACACCGCCTATGTCTCTTATGAGTACGCTTTTTATCCATAGCGGACCACTGTGCATTATTTGCTTGCGCATTGTTAGTTGCGTTTTTCGCTTGTGCGTTGCTCAACCTAGCATTGTTCGCCAAAGTCGCAGCAGCGGCATACGTAGGCACAGCGTTAGCGGGGCCAGCAGTTGGTGAACAGGGAGAAGTACAAGCAGGCGGAAGAGATGAAGCAGAAAACCCGATGTTATTACCAGGGCATGAATCACGTATGACGACAATCGTCTGGACGATATCGTGCTGAGTTTGTCATGCTTCATGAAAACCAAAAATTGTTGGATCGTTTGTGCGATATCGTCCACTCAATTCCAGTTTTGCTTCACGTAACAGTAGCAGTAGCACGTAACAGCAAAACAAATGCATTAATCAGTGTTTTGACGACATCGTTTTGTCAGTATCGTTTGAACGACAATCGTTTCAAAGTTACGTGATTCATGCCCAGGAGTAGTTGGCGAGCGAGTAAAAGCAACAGCAGCAGAAAAACCGGTATTCCTACTAGGAGTAGTTGAAAAACCGGTATTAGTATCAACTACATCAAGAGCGGTATAACCAGTATTTATACCCGGCGCATCAGAAACACAATGCATTTCAGAACTTTTTCGTACTGCCACGGTATTAGAGTCAGCAACAGCATCATTAGATGGCGCAGTGAAAGCGCGCTCTTTTGTTTCCACTAGTAGCAGGAGCCGGCGAAATAGAATTATCATTTTCTGGTTCAATTAATGCGATAAAAATGCTTTTTAATTTTTCCAAATCCGAAATCGCGTTTAAGATTTTATCTTTCAGCCCACAATGGGCCGTAAAATTAGTACATAAAGACATTATTGCGAGATAAATGAAAATAAACACAGAGCGATAGAAAACACGACCGAACTATTCTGCAGTCACAGTCACTCCGACTTTGCTGGAGATGTTTGCACTAGACGTTCAACTGGAGGTTATGTCATAATTCTGCGGTGGACCGTTATCATGGTCTTCGAAAATTCAGCCAACAGTAGCGCTTTCAACGACCGAGGCGGAGTATATGGCAGTATGCGAAAGTATAAAGGAGCTCATTTGGGTACGACGTCTATTGAGTGAGTTATGCGACTTCTCCACAACGTCGAATTTATGTCTGGACAATCAGAGTGCTATTAATCTGGTTAAAAACCCTCAGTACCACAAGCGAACCAAGCATATTGAGGTGAAAGTACACTTCATCCGAGAGGTATACGAGGGCGGTGGCTTTACTTTGAAATATGTACCAACAAATGAGCAGCTAGCGAACATTTTTACTAAACCTCTTAAAAGACCGAACTTTGATAAACTAAAATCTCTTTTAAGTATTGAGTAAATATGAGAATAACCTGATTACTAGAAGTGAAAGTGTTAAGCGATTACAAAGTGAAAGTTTTAAGTTATACAAAAAATGGTTGAATCCCGTACGAGTCCGGACTAGTCAGAATTAGTCACATTTTACTGGAAATTGATCCAGTACTCGTTTCTCTGACTATTGCGAGGACAAAAAAGAGAGTAAATAAGGTCCTCTCTCAGTCAGAAGTTATCAGTTTTAGTCCGAAGATTTTTTGCTGGTAAATTCTGGTAAATGTGTCAAACGATCAGTGTGTTTGACCACCAAATTGTAAGCAAAAAAAAGTGCATTCTGTTAATTCATGTTGAAAAGTATTTAATTACTTGTTTATGTGGATTGTCATGAATTTGAAAGTATTTTTGGTTATTTACATGTGTGAGTGTGTTTACATACAAAATAAGCAAAAATTTACAACCGAAATTTGGAGATTATATTGAAATTGACAGCAGATACCATTTTTTACTAAAAAGCGATCCCGTAATTTTTAATGCTACTCTCTCGCTCTGAGCGAATTTTTATTTTTTGACAGTTCTACTAGTTTTAGTCCGAGGAATACGGGATTGGATATATTTTGTATAGAGGAATATGCGCGAAAAAACTTAAATTTTTTTTTACAAAAATTCAATGGGCTACAAAATTGCATACTCAAAAAAATTCTTGAAAATCTGATTAAAATACTTAAAATTTTTATCAACATTTGTTAAAATTCGTCGAATTTTTATAACTGTTTTGCAAAGTTTGAAATTTTTATTTACTTTTTTTAGATAGATAGTAACTTAGATAGAAAGTAGCCAAAACTTGTAAAAATATCCTTTCGCACATATTTATTGTGTGTATACATTTTTGCGATAATATTTCAAGTTAATTCTCTTTGTTTTATTTTGAATAAAACTGTTTTAAAAGATACTATGTCTTTATATTCTAAAAACAATATTTTAGGTTCGGATTCGATGCTTTAGAAATGTCCCTATTTTTAGCTACAGAAATCTGGTCACCGTAGGCATATTATATTAAACAAAAAACAAGTAATGTTGCTGCCTTTTCTCCCATGAGGCGATTTCTTAGAGGCTCGTATGTAAGGCCGGATGCACTGAACAATTGCTCACTTGGAACGCTGGCGGGTGGAGCGCTCAAATATTTTCGGCCCAGATCTGTCAATTTATCGTATTTATTTCAATAGTGTTATTGAACTTTGTACCACGATTTGGTTGTTAGGATGAGGAGATGTGGTAATCTCCGAAATAGCTGCAATAAGCATTGTTGATTTGGCATTTTTCCTAACAAAGAAATCGTGGTACAAAGCTCAATAACACTATTGAAATAAATATGAAAACGCCACAATAAAAATTTACAAATTGTCGTATTTTAGTTAAGTTTTCCACCAATCGAGAGGATCTTCACCGAGATGAGCTCGTTTTTCTTTAAGATAGGCCTTCAATTGAGCTTTAATTTCACATTTTTTAATGTCTCCAGGTTCTACAACCGAGCCTTCTCTTTCGCTGGAAAAATCTAACATTATTTCTAGGCAGACCTGTTAAATAATGATTAATAACCATAGGGATTATTAATTAAAGCATGTTTTTTTTGGGTAACCATTTAATGATTAAATACTATTATTTGCACCTTTTTAATTATTAATAACTAATTACTTTCAATGAAGGAAATTAGATAATTAATTTTAATTACGTGCTTGTTTTATTATTTTCGATTATTTTCAATTATTTTTGAACTTTTTTTATTACATGATTAATATGATTATTTTTGATTTATTTTAATTGCATGATTAATATAATTTTTTGATTATTTTCAATTATTTTCAACTTGTGAATAGTACATTACAACGCATTAATATATACTAGAGTGCCAGTTACTGTCGAAATTCGACAGTTTTTCTAGTTTTAGAAGCCTTGGATAGGTTTTCTAACTTAACACGTAGCGATACTTATACGGTACAAATTAACTAGCCGGAAAATCTTCTGCTAACATGTAACTAATTTTCTTTCTTATCTGAGAAGTTCATTGGAGGACTTCGGCAGGACTTGGAATTGACCCGATACATTCAAGTTTATCGATAAATTTCAATGATTTGATACATATCGATAGTTCGATGAATTTCAAGAACACTAAAATTCGATAACTCAACAAAATTCGTTAACTCGACTAATTTCGATAACTGTGAAATTCGATGGCTCGATAAATTTCGATAACTCAAAAATGTAAAAACTTTGGATACCTTTATAAATTTTTACTTTTGACATCTCCACATTTTTCGAAAACTATCTAAACATTTTGATAACCCGTTACATACTGCTAGGACGATTAAATTCGACAAGCAGTGATAAATCGATAAGCTTATATAACCTTGAAATTTCGATAAATCGATATATTTTGAAAATTCCATAAACTTCGCTTCGTTGAACCAACCAATTTCAGTAGATCAATAATTATCGATAACTCTGTAAGTTGAAAGAACTCCATGCATTACGACACCTCGATATATTTCGTTAAGTCTATAAATAATGATAATTCAATAAATATCGATAACTTGATACATTTCTTTAACTTGACAAATTTCGTTAATCCCACACGTTTTTATAGCTCGATAACTATCCGTAAATTTGGACAACTAAGTTTCTGTGTCTATTAATTTCGACAACTCAGTAAACATTGATCAGTTCGAATAATTCGATACGTTGCGATAACTTAATAAGCATGTATAAATTTCGATAATTATAAACTTCGATGATTCGATAAATTTCAGTAACCTTTATGGCTGATTTTATTTCGATTCCTATCTTTTAACCTAATTCTTATGTATTTCTCATTGTCTCCATTTTCGCCTTTATCTCAATTTTCGTCTTTATCTTCACTTTTGTCTTTTTTTTTGTCTTCAAAGTTATCACTTGTTTCTTCATCTTCATATTTATCTTTATTACAAAGTTTAATTTCAAATACGAAGTAAAACAAAATGCGAAACGCTTGAATTGAACAGGTTGCAAAAACAATCGTTAACAAATATGGGAACTTTTTAGCGACGATTTTCAACCAATTTCGAAACTATAAAAACTCTCCTCATCTACAGAAAATTACTTTTC